TAGCCACAAATCACCACAGGGCTGGCAGTTTATTTACCTTCCCCACCAGCCTCCTGTGCCCTCCCAGACTTCAGAGATAGTGGGTGGCCCTGCTATGAGGGGCAGGGGAAGGGCAGTATCCTGCTGTGGGCATAAACCGGGGACAGTCCAAATTGGAGCAGACCAGTGGCTCTTACACACAATGCTTCTCGCCAGGGGTTCAGCCTGCTCTGGGCTGGAAGCTGCAGAGTGCAGGTGAGAGTGGGATACTTCTAGAGCCCCTCTCATGGGGGGAATGGTTGGGAAAAGACCCGCGAGCAGGCTTACAGCCTGTGTCTCTAGCATTGGTGATGCTTCTGGGTTGTATTTCTCCACTAGCTGGCTTGGGGCTTTGGCGTGCTGCAAAATGACCTGAAGCACCAGCGCCAGAGCAGCAAGATCCACTGCTTCCCAAGAGATGCTTTAAACAAGGTTGTTGCACTGTAAGTCTCTTACAGGGAAATAATTTCAAAAGATGTAAAGCTTTGGGGGCTGTGACCTGGGGAGTAGTTAATGCTTAGCAAATGGGTACAGCCATCCTGGAGACAGAGACCTCTTTCAGGGCTCAAAAGCTATAGCCTGGGCAGAAATCAGGGTGCTAGGAAGGGCCAGGCACATAATTTGCTGCACTGGTCCCTCTCTTAAAGGTAACTTCTATTGACTGAAGGCAGGAGGTGGCTCAAACCCACCAGAAGGACCTGGTGCTAAATTGTGCGTCTAGGAATAGCCAAAATGGCAGGTTAGGTGAAAATCAAGACATCCCCAGCAGGGGTCATGTCTTCATCTGATATCTGGGATAAGGACTCAATCCTGGGAAAAAGAAAGTCTGGTCCCAGTCGACAATTTTTTATCAGGGTATGGATTTTCCTCGGCACCCTTGACTTTGATCTTGGCGCAGTTGGGTTTGTGGAGGGATGTTATATTGCTTCCCAAGGTGACACTGAGGAATTGGCAGGACTATAAAACTGAACTGTGCTCCCAAATACTACTTGTGACCCCCCATGGCTCATTTCTGAGAGCTCAGGCACTGCTGGCAACAGCTTGGGCAAGTGTGTGAACTGCTGGAGTAGTGTTGTGGGTCTCTACAGATGCCAAAAACTTGTGTGCACCAGAGCTGGGCATATTTAGTGGCCATGTGGGTGTTTGCTCTTCTAGTTTTACTCCTGTTTCTTGGTCTTGCATGGATGGAAGTTGCATAGAGATAATCCATGTGAGGCTATGGACAGGCCAAAGAGCTCCAGTTGTCTAGCTGGACACCTTCACATCAGCAATAAAAAGCTTTGCAGGGCTTATCTACACCCAGCATAGATGCTTCTGTGACTGCTGCTTTCAGGTGGCTGAAGAAAGACTGGGCTCTGAATGTCCAGCTGAGGCACATCCAGAAAATCCTGGCAAATCCCTGGGCAAATAAAAGCGTCCTAGGAAGCCCTGGGCTGTGTGAATGTCCCTGGTGCTGCCCATTGCTCAGCAAGGAATGTTGTGATCAGGGCCCTCCCGGAGAGGTGAGGGAGCTGAGGAACCTCGCTGCTGCCTGGACAGCATGGGCTGCCCACTGGTCTGCACTTGCTGGACAGAAGTAGACAAAGCAGTTAAGTGTAGAGGCACCTTTAGGGCACAGTCCTCATGAGGTGCATCAGGGAGGGGACAAAGGGATGTGTTGATTGGGTGGATTTGAGCCAACAAGGCACGTGGGGATTGGAGAAGCACCCTGGCTGGTTCAGGGCTTCGAGCTGGTCCATCTAGCTCTGTATGGGGCTCAGGACATCTGTTCTGGATGTGCCGAAGGTCTTCCACAGCAGCAAGGTGGTGTTTGCTGGCCTGTTTCACAGAGCTGGTCGCCTTGGGAGGGCCCTGCTGCCACAGGGTGAGCAGAGGAGGCCCTAGGGTAACAGCACAGGGTGAGCTGTGGGGGGACTGAGGGAAATACAGTTCTGGCTGGGAACATCCCCCCTTAAACTCCACCTCCTCCTGAGCTGGGGTGGTTTCCTTGGGAAGCTGCTGTCCATAATGCCCTGTACCCCAGGCCATAGGCATGAGTGGTCTCTCTGGCTGATATCCTGGTGTCTGCTTCTTGGGGCTGATGTTCAGGGTTGTCTTAGATCCTCTGTGGACACCATCCTGTGAAGGAAGGGTGCTGGGCAGCCGGGGCCAGTCCACAGTCACATTTACTTATTACAGTCCTCAGATCTAGTTAGCAGCCAGGTGAGCTGTCACCAGAGGACCTGATGGATGAGGAAGAGAGTTCCCTCCTTCCTGAGGCGGGAAATGAAGCTAATCAGACCTCGGACACCTTAATCCAGCTCTGATCTGATTAATGACCCTGGAGACAGTGAACTCATCAGCACCCTGGCATCTATCACTGCCTGTATCCCGCCCCTTCTGCTGGCCACCACCCGGCACCACTCCTGTGCACAGCCTTGGGCTCCAGCTCTCTGTCCTGCATGGTGTGGGCTGCATGCTGGCTGCTCCAGCCCTGGACAACCCTCTTGCAGGATCCCAGTGTCTGGGCTTGACTCACCTGGATGAGGGAACTCCCTCCATGATTTTCCTAGATTTCTTTTCTGGGATGTTTCCATTCAGGCTTTGTAGCTGGTATCTGCAAAGATTTATTGCTTGTGCAATTCATAGGCTGCAGCTTGGCTGCTTGTACTTGCATCACCCTGGAATCAGTGAATTGGGCACTATCATGGGCTGCTGATCCTTGGAGGAGCTGCTTGTCTTTGAAGAGCCTCCTTGGGTGCTGCAGGGGACTTCCATGAGGACAGTAAGGCTGTGACTTGGTGCTATGACCCAGAACTCCAAACAAGCCTCACTCAAGCCCTGCTCCCACTGCCCAAGCTACAGTGGGTACAGCCACGAGTGGTTTCAGGGCTCAGCAGGGGTTACCCAGGCTCTCCTGGGCTGGCTACCTGCTTGTCTGCCACACCATGGCAGTCACCATGGTGGTGACTTCTCTGTTGCGCCCCAATCTCTGCCCTGGGACTCAAGGCATGTTCCCTGTGCAAAGCTAACAAGCCATTGCAATCCTTGGAGCCAGTCCCGGTGACTCAGATAAGGAAGTGATGGCTCCTCCCTTGCCACTGTCACCCTTGCAGGCTGTTGACCTGAAGGGGAAGATTTGTCCTACCTCCACCGTGCCCTCTGTTCCCTGGATACTTCTTGCAGTTTTCCCCTGTGCTCGGGAGTCAGGCTGCTCTGTTCCTCCCCAAATCTTGTCCTGCCCATTCCTCCTGCTTGACAGGGCTGGCTGCTCACATGGGGTGAAAGGGTGCTCTTGCTTGGCAGGGATATTAGCTTCTGTCTTGGGAAAGAAGAGGGGTATGGATTTGGGAGGCAGAGAAGGGATCCCTAGAGCCTCTCTGATGGTGGAGAAAGGGTATCACAGCAGGCACAGGGGTGCTGGTGGTGGAAAGGGACACTATTCTACCTTCAGTACCCTCTGCTCAGGTAGGGTGTGTTACTGTGGGGTGATATCCACCCCAAATCCCCTTCTGAACAAATCCAGCTCTGGGCTGTCCATGGGACTGATTCCTGCCCTCCTCCTTCCCAGGGAGGCAGCTGGAAAAGAGCTGGTACATGTCTGTTCCCACACAAAGATTTGGGGCCACCCAGTGAAGCTCATGGGCGCTGGGCTCAGGCAATGGAAGGAGGAAGTTGTCCCACACGTGGAACCTTTGGAGCTCCCTGCAGTAGGGTGACGTGCGTGCAGGGAGCTCAGCAGACTCCAGACCAGACTGGATGGGTGTGGGAAAAAGAAGCCCCTGGGGTTACTGAGCAGAGAAAGCACAGGAGGCTGAGGAAGGTCCTATATGCCTCTGCCTTTCTCTTCCCTGGGCATCTGCTTGCAGCCTCTGCAGGATGCAGGGTACAGGGGGTTGGACCCAGATCTTGCTCAGGAAGTACAACAATGCCTGAAATGCTGAAAGGGAAAGAAATACAGGGATAGGAGCTCCCTTTAGCCATTATAGTATTTAGGCAGGGCAGTATTGACTGCCTCACTTGCCTTCCAACGAGCAGGATCCATCATCAGGCACAAACAAGCAAAGGCTTGTCTTGCTTTGTCAGCATGACACAAAAAGGTGGGACCCAGAGACAGACAGATGCAGACCCTCAATGCCAGAGACGACAGAGGCGCTTGCAGATATTCTGCCTCTCCCTGAAGACCAGTGCCAGGGGGCCTGGGCCATATCTGCTCTTGCTCACCCACATCTTACAGACCAGCCAAGGCTTTCCTCTCTGACCTTCCCTGGTGCCACTCTCCAAGCTATGTGTTGTCTGGGAAAGGCAAGTCCAGGCAAATGAGTAACAGTCTGCCTGTAGGCATCTGCTCTGTTGGCATCTTGGGCAGGCATGGGTGCCGGAGAGTGGTGGCCCCTGTGTGTGTCCAGCTCAGCTCCACTGATTGCCCTGGCCCAGAGTGGTGCAATGGCAAACGGCAGAGCTGGGCATTTCTGGGGATCTCAGGTGCATGGGGTGCAGAGGAGCATGTTGGTGAGTGAGCACCTCTCCTGCCTTCCCAGCCAGGCACTCTGACCCCTAAGTGCCTGGGGGCTCCATAGAGCCAGGGCAGCACTAGAGCCCAGCAGAGCTTCACCTACATGTGCCAAAGTCTGTCTAGTATCTCCAGATATCCACAGACCTGCTTCCCCATCGAGGGGCTCCAAGGAAAGCAAGACTGGCTCTGGATCAGGACGACAGGCTCAGCGCCCTGGGCAGTGGGTCCTGCAGCTTGGGTGGACTCCCGGGATGTGGACCAGGGCTGGGTGGACTCCCGGGATGTGGACCAGGGCTGCTGTGGCCGGGGGATGAGGAAGCCGGACGAGCGGGACCGGCGGGGAGCCCGGCCGGGACCCGCGGGGAGGCAGGCCGGGCCAGCGGGGCGGGTGGGCCGGCGCGGAGCCAATGGGGAGCTGGGGCAGGTGGAGGGGGGGTTAAAACCCACCCCCCCCCCGGTGCCGGCGGGTGAGCGAGTGCCCGGGAGGAGGAGCGGAGAGGAGGGCTGCCCCCGAGGGCAGCCCCGCGGAGCGCGGCGCGGCGGGGCCCCGCGGGTGGATGACCGCCGGTGCCGGGGCTGGCCCGGGGCTGCCCGGCCGGGCTGTGCCCTGGCAGGGGAGCGGCGGGGTGCCGGGGGGCCCGGCGGCTCCGCACGGAGCCGGGCCATGCCCAAGCCCATGGAGAAGTCCCAAAACTTCCGCATCGAGGCGCTCCTGGCTGAAGAGCCGGCGCGGAGCACTTCCCCGCCGGGGCTGAGCCCCGGGAGCCCCGCGGCGAGCCCCGGCCCCGCCGGGCGCTCCGACACCCCCTCGCCGCGGGCGCCCCCGGCCGCCGCGCCCCTCGCCCCGGCCGGCTTCGTCCCTAAGCCCGGCTTGCTCCACCTCCCCGGCCCCGGGCTCGGCGCCCTGCCTGCCCTCTACCCGCCCGCCATGTACCCGCTCCCGGCCCTGGGGGGCCAGCACCCCGCTTTCGCCTACACCGGCATCCCCCACCTGCCGCCGCCCGGCGCGGAGCACTTGAAGGCGGCCGTGGCCAGCTCCCTCCCACTGGAGCACTGGATCCGAGCCGGGATGCTGGTGCCGAGGCTCTCCGACTTCCACGGTGAGTGACCCGGGAACCGACCCTCCCGTCGGGCGGGACGCGGCTCTCGCCCCTTCCAGCCCCCGAGGGCCCCCGCCGACACAACGGGGTGCGGAACCCCTCGGGGACGGGGGGCCCGTGGCTCTCCGAGACCTCCCCTTCACGGCTCCCTCGGTGTTTCGAGTCGGGAGCCCGGCGGGGGCGGCGAGCCCTCGGGGCTGATCCCCATACGGAGTTCTTGCTGCGCCCAGACCCGCACCCCAGTCAGGGCAGGTTTGGGGGTGCCATAAGCGGGAGTGGGGGGGGGGGGCAAGACCCGCGCTCCAGAGACCTCCGAGGGCTGCGGGGGGCCGGGAACCCGCTCTGAAGGGCAAAGTCTCGCCCTACCCCATCTCGGAGCTGCGGCACGGCCCCGAGGGGCACTGCCCGCCCCGGTGCCGGCGGAGCGGAGCCGCTCCCGGGCCGGGTCCGCCGCGCCCCCCCCCAGCTGCCGGCCCCGCCTGGCCGCCGCGGGCTCGTTGGGCTCCGCCGCGGCGGGAAGGAAACGAAAATAAAGACGCGGCGGCCGAAAACGGCGCCAGGAAACGAATAAATCTCGCCCGGTGAGGTTGGGAACGAATCCGCTCGGGATCCTGCGTCGGGGACCGCCCGCCCGGGCTGGGGCACGGAGGGATGCGCGGCCGGAGCCGGGCCGTGGGAGTGCCGGGGCTCCGGGTCGCTTGCCCGCCACCACGCTCCGGTCGTGGGGGCGAGGAGCCGGTTCCGCGGGCCCCAGCCCAGCCCCGGTCCCTCCTGGCATGCGGGGAGGGTGCCGGCTCCCCGGTGGGCACGGCAGGCAGTGGGAAGGGTCCTGCAGGACATGGACGGCACAAGGACTGACTTCAGCCTCTCGTCCCTCCGGGATTGTCACTGGCACCCCTGGCAGTGTGACATGGACCCTGTCCTGTGCTTGGGGTGAGCAGAAGTCCAGGGTTGCTGCAAAGATGGGGCCAGTGGGCAATAAACCAAGAGTGGCTTTGTTAATAGACCTGCAGCAGAGTATCCAAGTTTATTACCTGGGTTTAGTGTCTTAATAACCTGGGACCCCCTTTCCAGCAGGAAAAAAAAAAAAAAAGCTGGATAAATCAGTTCATTAATAAACTAGCTGGATGGATAATAGTGCAAAAATGGAGAATTAACATGAGACAACCTATTCATTGCTTATTCTTCAAATTATACCCGGGCAGGTGAAGGGAAAGAGGCTGCTCTCCTCCCTGGGCTGTTTCCCTTTCCCTGGCTCTCCCCAGACTGTAGGATAGCTCCAGCTGTGAAGTGGTGATAGCACCTAAGGATGTAGAATAAGCCTCCAGTGCTATAAACTGTGTGCACTCTTCAAGTGTCACTAAGAGCAGGGGGGTGAAAAAAAAAAAATCTCTATTTGTTGGGTGGTGAAACACCTTCCTGCTCCTCTGCAGAGGCCATGTTGTCCTCGCGGGGTCTGTGTCTGTCCGTGTGTTTCAGCATCCCGGTAGCTTCATGCAGGGTTGTGTTTCGCCAGGGTGGGATCACAACCACTGAATTTACCCCTGCGGGCCTGAGCGCAGCTTCTGGCTGGGGTAATGTGCATCATTTGTGCATCAGCCCCATCCCGCTCAAGTGCAGGATCCGCTCCAGAGCTGGTTGTCTCCAAAACCCTGATGAAAGGAAACAAATCTCATATCATGGGCATGAGAACAGCTTGTGGATGGAGCTTTTGAACTGTGCTAGGATGCATGGGAACAGCATGTCAATGAGTTTTGCAGGAAGCACTGAGCTGGGCTCCTATGGTAGCTTAGGGAGAGGAAAGGCGGTCTCTGACCCAAGTGTTGCTTGATTGGGCCCTGGAGACCCCAAAGCAGGGTAGAATTAAAGGAGACGTGGAGGTGTAACAAAGAAGCAACAAAAAACTCTAAAGCTGTAGATTTTAAAATCAGAATAACCACTGCCCCAATCCATATCCTTGCCAAAAGGTGTTTGTGCCCAGTTCTGGGGAGTCCTTTGCAGTGGGGATTCATTCTCCCCAGACTGTCCTGTTTAGTACTTCAGCAATTCTCCTACTGTGAAGCTTTTATTGCTCCAGTTTGCTCCTAAGATTTGTCATGCCAAACACAGCAAATCACTATCAATCTCTCTGCTTGCCTGGTCTGCACATGAGGAGGATCTGTAGGTCCCTTTCAGTCTTCTCCTTCCCCCACTACACAGCCCAGATGCTTCCATCTCTTCTGAGCCGGTTTTTCATCCTAACTGCTTTCAGGGTTTTCTTCCAAATGTTCTCAATGTTCCAAAGCTGTCTAAAAGCACAGGGACCAAGCTAGTCCCTGCAGACTTGAGCTGATGCCTGCCTGAAGCAAAAGGATGAATCTTTGAAGCTTTGTGCATTTGCAGCTGCTTTACCTTCCAGTATATCCCCATGAACATCGCTTCGGATCTGGGGGACTTATGCCTAGCTTGGGGTCTAGTCTCCTCTCCATGTTTGTTCTCCCACGGATCCTGCTCTCCTGGTCCTTGTTTCATGTTATTCTCAATGCCGTGTAGACTGTTTCATCAGACATTGTTCCTTGTCCATCTTCAGATCCTTGATTCAGTCCGTTGGGAACATTTGGGTTCTCAAGTGTGTTCTTAGCCTTTCCTCTTTTGGGCTAGCTGCAAGCTCCAAAAGCAGGTCCCTTTGCAGTATGCCTTGTCCTTGTAGTCGCCAGCACTGGCCCCAGCTGTGTGTTATGGCTGTGTCTGGGCTGATACAGCCCCAGTCTGCTGGCTCTGAAGTAGGGATGGGGGACAGTGGTGTGGGTATGCAGGGACAGGAAAGGGCACCTGCCTAGGACATGCTACCTGTACAGCCCTTCCTCATTTCTCTGAAGAGGGTGGTGGGCTGGGCAGGAGCCTCCCGCTGTCAGCACAGGGATCCTGGGCTGCCTGTGATTCCTGGGTGCCCTGTCCCAATACCCAGCCTAGACAGACAGACGGTCCTGCCTGGCTGAGGTTTTGAGTGACTGGGCACAAGTGTCCATGCTGCTGGTCATGTTTAGCTCTCCGGGTAACAGTGGACAGATAGCTGGAAGAGATGAATCTGAAAGCCTTCTAGGATGTGTTCTGGGGCATCTCAGAGGGAGGTCACCTTTGTGATTTATTTATAGGGGATTTCAGGAATAAATCCTGGAATAAATTAATGCTTTAGCTGCACGGCTAGAGATATTTTTCAGGCATGGACTAGTTTGGTCTCCAGGGGACAGTCAGGGTGGGGGAAGCAGCAGAACAGCCCCTGAACTAAAGCCACAAACTCTGTGGGGATGCATTGCACACAGTCGCCCTGGTCTCACCAGTATATGGGGGGTAGGATGCTGGGGAGATGGTCTGGGACTGTGGGCACCCTTAGGAGCCTGGCCTGGACTTGGGTGCTGGGATTATTCAGAGAAGTGCTCCTGCTGTGGTGCAAGCGTGTACCGTGCCTTCTTCGCTAGCTGCCTCTGCAGCGCCTGCCTGCCTCTGCTGCAATGCGGAGTGAGAGGGCTGGGTGGGAAGGCCTGAGTGCAGGAGCAGGCATGCCCTCACTGCATCTGGCAGGGATGCTGCCTGCCCGGGCTCTGCTGCTCCCAGCCCGGGTCCCTGTTCTAGGGCTTTGAGCACCTCCGGAACTGCAGAGGGGGAGCATTTGGCACCAGGGTGCCATGCTTGTTAGTATTTCTGGGAGCTGTGATTTATTTGCCCTGGCTATCAGCATAGAAGTGCAACACAGTGGTGGGAGCCAAGTGCAGACACTGGCCTCGGCAGAGAGTTGTAGAAGCAGGGATGGGTGACACACAACTTCAGGCTCTTAGGAAGACGGAAGGATTCCCCGCGGGGGACCTGGTGCTTAGGTGGCTTTCCTGGGACATCGCTTCTCTGCACCACCTTGATGGCTTGGAGCCCAGGCCAGATCCTGCCCACAGTGGCAGAGAGCTGGCTGATGGGCCATGCTGGGCTAGGAGAGGGAACAAGACAAGTCATATCAAACTGCTTCAGAAAGCAATGCCTGCCAAGGCTCACCAGGTGCACAGTGGTCTGGCATCAGCAGGAAACACGGGCTAGAAAACAGCTGGCAAGCAGCAATTGGGGGTCAATAGTGGAGCAAGCAAGGAGCTAGCAGAGGTAGCAAGTGCCCTTACACACGCTGCCCCACAGACAATGGTCAGGGCAGCTGGCAGGCCAGGAGAAGGCTCTGGTGATGGCAACAATGCTGGTGAGACCACCTCTCCCCCTCCCAGCCCTGCTCATCTGGAGAAACACCTCCAAAGTAGACAGAGTGCTAATTTCCTCTCCTTTATCTGCCAGCCCACAAAGTTAAGTGAACTATAGCTAAACAAACCAAATTAAAACCAAGTGGGTTAATATCAACCTAGGATTACCCTTGTTATCAAGTAGACGGAACTGTATCAAATAAACCAACAATTCTTTATAAGCTTTATCTAATTATCCAGGAGGCAGCTGCCGTGTAGAACTCCTGGCCTCAGACTCATAGGGCATTCCCAGTTCCAGGCCAAGCAATTTATTTACCGATATTGCAGCCAAATGCCAGGCACCCCTCAGGGGGTCCAAGCCCTGCCAGGCTGAAGGGATATTGAGACGAGCTCTGATCCTGGATGTAACACTGGAGGAGATGGCTGAGCAGACAGGAAATCTTTTGGCAAGCAAAGGTGTGATGCTGAGGCAGTCACTGGTCTTCTGGTAGGAGCTGGGTAAGGGGGGAGAGCCTTCCCAAAGAGTTGCTCTGTCTGTGGGATGCTGGCTGTGATGGGGATGGGTTCATAGCTTAGCTGGCAGGACTGGGGGAGGTGAGCCCAGGGGGGATGCTTGCTGTGCATGTGGTGGCCTGCCATGGGACAGGAGGGAACAGGACTCCACAAAGCAAACTGGCAGGACAGGCTGGAGCTACCAGCAGCCACGAGGCATCGTTTCCTTTTTGCATGGGAAACTGGAACCTACTTCATACCCTCAGACTCCACTTCTTCTCCCTCATCCCTTTGCTCCTTCCCCAGTAAGAAATTGCAGACCCTCTTCCTCCATACTGTCCCCACAGAAAGGAGCCAGAGCCCTTCAGGAAATCTAACAACAGGTCTGAGGCCAGACATGTTGGTCGTTCAGGTCCACGCTGACCTGCTGCTGTGGGTGGCTGAAGGTCAGGTGGACCTTAAAGTTGTGTTGGTTTGGGCTTGCCCCATCTTGTCTGCAGGCCAAATCTTGAACAAGTCACAGTGGGGAACAGTAGTGATGGATAACAGTAGCTGCTGAAGGGTGTATTGTCAGAGGAGGTCACAGGTTAGGTGGTCAGCCACACCTGTGTAGGCTGGGCTTTGGACTGGTGGTGGCTTGAACTGTATGACAACACCACAGAGGGGTTTGAGGGTTGTTTTTTTAATCAAGGCTGGGGCAGGAGGCAGGGTGTGTTTCCAGGGAAGTCAAAGTCTGTACAAGATTTGTGATGGACACCACTGCACTGAGCCTCAGTTGGAGACACTGAGATGAAGAAGCTGGGGTTGGCAGGGGGACCGTGCTCCAGCGGTCAGTCCCCTGTATTGGTAGTCATTTGAGGTATATCCCATTTGGATTTATTTGGCTTTTGGGCAAACTTTCTGTTCTTGGTTTCCCTTCTAGACCAAGCAGTTCTCAGCATCTTACGTGGGGAAGAGAGTCCCTTGGGGGGGTGTTAGAGCAAGCTGCTTTCCAGCCTCCTCTGAAGCTGGAGAAGTCAAACTCCCACTGCTTTTAGGGTGGACACTCACTTCTGTGCCTCTACTCTTCCCACATCTGACCTTGCAGGAGGAGGCACAGAGGAGCCCTTTGGGGTGGTCGGAAGGATTTCTGTGCTCCCCAGAGCCAGCATGAACTGCTGTAGGAGCTGAGCCCTGGGGACTCTGCTTTGGGGTGGGGAATTTAAGCTAGGAATAAGGTATTTCTTCACCCCTGGCAAAACATCCTCCAGCTTCAGAAAGCACAGAAGTCCTGGATTATTGGATGCTGGGATGTGGGTACACTTTCTCCTCTTCTCTTTCCCTGGAGCATCCTCTATAGATCATGTCCAGAATGAGGACCTGCTCAGAGGGACCCTTCCCTGACTCACTACAGCCAGCCTGTGCAGTACAGCCCCTGCTTCAGGGAGGGACTGAGGCACCGGGTGCCCCAGTGCACCCCCCCCATCTCTGGCAGCAAAGGGGTCTTGATGGGTGCCAGAGCCCTCAGGCTGCTGGGTGCTGCCTGGGGCTGCTTTCTGTTGTGTTCCCCACCAACGCTGACTGAATGAAGTTCCCCTCCAGTCCTTCCTCACCCCGAGGAGCTGCAAGGTGGTAGCTTGGGCTGCCCCATCCCTGCAGATGCTGGTCCCCATGGCACCTCCTTTCTTTAGCCAAGGGGAGCCTTGTCAGGTCTGTTTGGCCCCACATCTCCACCAAGGTTTTGTACAGCCAGAACATCCACAGCCAGCCAGAGCCCAGACAGCAGCTGAGCTCTGCAGAGCTGAGCCATCTTTCATCTGACATTCGTATTTGTCCTGGAAATCCTTTGAGCCTCTCATTTGGTTTTAGCCTTGAATATGTTTTGTGTGCAAAATAACGCACCATGTGTTTGTGTCAGACCCATCAGCACAGCATGTCTCTATTTAGTCCCTAGTTTAATTGGCCAGAGGCTGCGAGGTGGGTCCCAGAGGCTGTCTGTCCTGGAACTGTGGGGCTGCAGGCGCAAGAGGGGTCGTGTCCATCCCTGTTCCCACAAGGAGTTTGCAGAGCCCCAGCCCAGCCTGGGCTCTGCCTGTTTGACCAATCCCACCCAGCATCCAGGTACTTGGGATCAAACCTGGATCGTGATCAATTAATGTTCCCTTCATAAATTCCTGCCTCATGCGTCACTGCTGTGTTTGTGAAGGGCTCGGTGGACACCTCTGGAGATGGGCAGGTTGGGATCAAAGCTGGAATCAGGGGGAGGTAATTTGGATGGTGCCCCACGCCCCGCAAAGCGGGTGAGCCAGAGCGACTCTTGTCAAGCAGGGCACATCTCCGGGGCCATGATGCTCTCTCACCCCCCAGGACGTATCAGCGGGGACGTGCCAAGGACCTTTCCCGTTAATGCCCCCCAATTCCGCTCCAGCACTTTACTCCCAGCTGCAAACCTCTGGGTTTGATTGCCACTGCGGTGCTGGGAGAAGCAGTAAAAGCTGAACCCCGGAGCGACAATAAAGCCAGCAGAGAGGAGATAAGAGAGGATCAAACACGGCGCAGCAGCCACCCCACGCTGGACTCTCAAAGGTCCCTTTGTTCCTGCTGCCTCCTGATTCAGCGCCGCGCTGCCTTCAAGGGCTGCGGGCGAGATAGCGGGGCTCACGGGCAGCCCCGCCGCCGCAGCCCCTGGCAGTTGGGCAGCCACCTGCACGGCCCGGCAATAAAAAAGAAGGATTAATTTCAGTCACAGGACTGATCCCAGTTGCACACCGAGGCCTGATAACGTATCTCGCTGGTTCCTATCAGCCAGGCAATAAAGCCATTATTGGGGCGGGAGATGATGGAAGAGACGCTTGCCTTCCTCCTCATCCTGAGCTTACAGAAGGGGTGTCCTCCCCATTCCCGCTGTTTCCTGACCCTTGCCCGCTGTCTGCTCCACAGCTGCCCCACAGTCTGGCTTGATGGGGAAGTGCCGTCGGCCCCGCACAGCCTTCACCAGCCAGCAGCTCCTGGAGCTGGAGAACCAGTTCAAGCTCAACAAGTACCTGTCCAGACCCAAGCGCTTTGAGGTGGCCACGTCGCTGATGCTCACCGAGACGCAGGTACCTTGGTCCTGGGGGGATGGAGCAGCTGCTGGGGGGGAAGTCAAGGTCATGGGAAATGCTGATGCCCCTCATTTGGCTGCCATCAGCCCCCCTTTCCAGGGCATCTCCTGCAGAGACCTGCCTGGTGGGGTCCGGGCTCTTCTCTTGTGAAGGGAATCCCAGAAATATTGTTCCTCTTCTTACCCGGCACCCCCAGCTTGGGTTTCAGAGCCTTCCCTTCCTTCACTGCACTGTGGGAGGGGACTTTTTGTGGGGCTAAAATTAAAATGTCTCCATGCATGTCCTTGGGCATCCTGTGGAGGCTGATTAAGGGGAAGGGAGCAGCCCCCTGGGTACTTCTCTCCCCGTGACAACCTCAGCCTCCTTGAACAGACCCTCAGCACCACGGGATGCCCCACAACAAAGAGGCTTTGGGGGAACCCTGCACGCAGGGAAGGCGAGGGGTTGAGTGGGGTCACGATGGGGCGGGGGGACACATTCTCCCCTGGGGACTCTCCCTCGGCAGGTGAAGATCTGGTTCCAGAACCGACGCATGAAGTGGAAGCGGAGCCGCAAAGCCAAGGAGCAGGGAGCTCAGCCGGAGGCTGAGAAGCAACGAGGGCTCAGCAAAGCCTGTGAGAAGCTGCTGCCCGGAGAGCCCCAGGGACAAGCTACCGAAAGCCCTGAGTTCATGGGGCGCAGCCCCAGCTCGGGCTTCCTGCACCGCAGCACTGCCGAGCTGGGCTACAGCCCGGACTCCTCCTGCTCGGGGGGCGAGGAGGAAGAGGAAGAGGAGGAGGACGAGATGGGTGCCATGGAGAGGAAGATTGGCTCTGTGTTGTGAACGGCAGATGGAGCTGGCAGGGGAGAGGGGCCAGGCTGCGGTGTTGGGGGTCTCTTTGCTGGCAGACACAGACTGTGCCTGGGTGGAGCAGGGGGGGCTGCAGGGCACCTGCCCCCCTTTAACTTATGTGTGTTTGGATCCTATTTAACTCGTAATTATTCCTCTGTGTGTATCTGGGGGAGTCCCCACATCCCTCCCCTATAAAGCTGTTATCCAGATGCCTGTGCTCTTCCTTAGGGGATGGGAGACTCTGCCCCGCTCCTGCCACCATGCTGCTCTGCCAGCATCCCCGGGGAACTGGGTGGGGATGGCAGAGTGGCACAGCTGGAAATCCTGCCAGCACAGCCTGAGGGGAGAGACCCCAGACCCTCCTTTGACTGTGAACTGCCCCTTCCCTGCAGATACGACAGTGCCTGGAGCAGTGCATCCCTGCATGGTGCCAGCTGCCCTTCCCTTTGGTGGCACGAAGGGCTGGGGAGCAGGATGCCCAGGATGCGTGCCAGCCTGCCCTGCCTCCTCCTGCACCTGTAGCATCCCTGGCGGGGTCTGCGCTTTGCGGGGCGAAACTAATCTGTCCTACAAAGCAGAGCTGGTTAATTGGCTAATGCAGTGGTGCTGTTTCCCATGCTGCAATTAGCCTGGTTGCATTGGTGTGGCATTGCCCCAAAGGTGGGGATGGAGCCCTCCTGGGTTTAGGGAGGTGCTGAGGCTGGCTGTGGGGGCTCAATGCTGTGGTGAGTCCCACTTTTCCCATGGCGATGCTGAACCCCTCTCCCTTTCTGGGCTCATTTCACGATCCTCTTGGGACCCTGCTCACTCTGATTGGGCTCAAATCAACCTCTGACAGCAGGATGACAACAGACACTCTTCCACCTCCCTAAGAAGCACTAGGGTTAAGCCCTGAACCCCTGAAAGCGAGCAGGCTGCCCCAGACCTCAGGATGCTGAGGGGTTCTGGAAGACCCTATAAGACCTCCCCTGTGTCTTGCACACTTTCTGGGCCTCCCCGTGGGGATGCTGAGATGGCCGTGCAGGCAGAGAGACCAGCCCTGAAATGTCCACCCTCCCCACCTTCCCAGCCTGAGGGAGAAGCCCTGCATCCCCACCCCAGTGCACATAGGGCTGCTGCGGGAGCAGGGCAGGCTGGGCTGGGATGCCCCATTCCCAGGCAGTCTGTGGTGTGTCTCTCCTGCCTCATGCCCTGCTGACCCCTCCTCTCTTCTTGTCTTTGCCTGGGGGTGGCAGGGAGGGCTACCTGCACCAGGGATGTGCCTGTGGGGGTGGGAGCTGATGAGGGACAGCAGTTCCCAAGGAGCCCTGGGTCACCTCCAGCAGCCAGTCAGCGAGGGATGGGACGGGTAAGCGTTGGTGTGGGGCTGTCACACCTTGCAGGGCTGGGTAATGCTGGGCAGCTGCTGATGCTGCCACAGGGCTGGGGGCCAGAACCCTGGGCACAGGGGGACAGATGAGATGCGTTTGGGACTGAGGGATGGACAGGGGAAGCAGATGATGGGAGAGGAGCATGGGGATGGATGGATGGATGGATGGATGGTCGGACAGACAAACGGTCCTGTGTGGGGTGACAGTGACCCGCAGTGGCTGCTGCCAGCTCACCAGCTTCCCCCGGGTGTGTGGCATCCTCGATGCTCAGATCCCCTGTCCCCACGCAACCCAGCCCAGGGCATGGCAGTGCCCCACTGCCCATGCAAGAGGCATCCAGACCCCTGGCATGGCCCAGGTGGGAGCTCTGGTCCTCGTGATGGTGCAAGGGCAACCCTTGCTCCAAGGGAGGAGATGTGAGTCAGGGCAGGCGCTGGGTGCCAGGAGCCTGCGATGGTTGGTGTAACATGGAGCAGGAAAGGAATAAATGTGGGGAAGCTGGGGTGGAAATACAGGGAAGAAAAGGAGGAGGGGAGGGGGAAGTAGGAAAGGATGGCACCCAATTCCCTTCCGTTGCCCTGCAGGGACAGCAGGGCAGGAGAAACCCATCATCCCAGGGGAGCTGTGCCCCCCCAAGCAGGCACACAGGACAGGGAAATGACATGCTGGCAGATGCCAGACCATGGCTGCATGAACCTTGGGGCTGAAGACACCTACCACGCGATGTACAACCTGGTCCTCCAGCAGCAGGGGAGCATGGGGAGGACCACAGACTGGAGCTGGGCACACCAGGGTGGGGCGAGGTGGGGGGGACAGGGACATCAGGGGGAGAGAAGGAAAGCAACAAAAAAGAGAGTGCCAGGAAGGAGGGGGCGGGGCTGAAGGGATGTCACAGACTTAAAACATTCACCTTGATCAGCTGTGACAGGTTTAATTTCCAGAGTACAACCATTAAAATGATGGATGGGAGGCGTTCATCTCACGCCTGGCGCATACGGGCCTGTCGTGGCTGCAAGAGGGTTTGTTTTGTTGCTGTTATTTATGAGGTTGTTTCTGCAGGAGCCAGGCACTCGTCCAGTAGTGGAGGGACAGAGGAGGGGACGCGATTGATGCTGGAAGAGTTGGGGTGCTGATTTATGGCTGCTTAGCAGGATGACTCACGTTGTAAACATCGACAAATGCCATTAAAGATGCATCTACTTCCTGCCTCTGCCCTGGCACCCTCCCCGTGCTGCGGGATGTGGCCAGCCCCGCTCTCCACCACGGCGCTGTGTGCCCTGGAGGGGCTGCCTGGCCCTCCGCACCGGGGACACAAGGGTCCCCCCCCTCAGCCAGGACCCTGGAAAGATGCAGGAGTGATGGTGGTGGTGGTGCCCCATGGGAATGACACCCGGGATACCTGATGGGCTTGTGCAGCCAGGGCTCCCCGGCTTGTGTCCCTCTGCCCCTTTGCCGGTCTTGACCCCGTAACTACTTTCGGCAACGGTCACAACTTGTTATTTGTGTCACCAATGCTCCAAGGAGCTCGTGCCCCGTTAAGGTCCCACCCCGCCCCTATGCCAGCACTCTCCAGCCTGCCACACCCCCTTTCCCTCCCCAGCACCCTCACCTCTTAGCCCTGCAGCCTCCTCCCCCACCCATCCCGCGCACCCACACGGCGCCTCCTTTTCCAACTCAGCTTTCCACCTGCCTCCCTCCCCCGCACCCATCCCCATCACCCCTCTCCCCTCAGCTCTCTCCTGTACCCCCCCCCCACCTAAGCCCTGCACCCCTCGGGCTGCCCCCACACCCCTCCATCTCCCTGATCCTGAACTCCCCTATCTCCTCCAGGTCCCCATCTCCCTCTGCACTGCTTCCCCCCCCCCCCATTTGCCCCCTGCACCCCTCCACCTTGCCCCTGCGTCCCCTGAGCCGCTCCGCTACCCCCTGCCCCCACCTCCACCCGCACCCCGAGCCCCCCCCCCCCCCCCGCCATTTGCCCCCCTCTGCGCGTCCCTCTGCTGCCCCCTGGCGGCCGACGCCGGAAGCCGGGGAAGCGCCCCGGCGCGTGGATTGACCCCAGGCGGCCGCCGTCGTTGCTCCGGGAGACGCTGCCGCCGCGTCCGGTCTCCATAGCAACACGGGCCGGGGCCGGGGCCGGGGCCGCTCGGCAGCCGAGGTGGTTCGGGCTCCCGGGGGTCAGGCCGGGCTCCCGGGGGTCAGGCCGGGCTCTCGGGGGTCAGGCCGGGCTCTCGGGGGTCAGGCCGGGCTCCCGGGTGCCAGGCCGGGCTCCCGGGGGTCAGGCCGGGCTCCCGGGTGCCAGGCCGGGCTCTCGGGGGTCAGGCCGGGCTCTCGGGGGCCAGGCCGGGCTCCCGGGTGCCAGGCCGGGCTCTCGGGGGTCAGGCTGGGCTCCCGGGGGCCAGGCCGGGCTCCCGGGTGCCAGGCCGGGCTCTCGGGGGTCAGGCTGGGCTCCCGGGGGCCGGGCAGGGCTTGAGGGAGCCGGGCTGGCCGTGCGGGCCCGGGGAGGGAGGCGGCACCGGGCCCGGGGTCAGCTCCGGGGGCCAGGCGGGGTTATGGAGGAGTGGGCCGTGCCCCAGCGAGCTGGGCAGGCTCTTGCTGCAGGGAACAGGGCCGAGCCACAGGCATCTATATCGGGCTTTAGGGGGCAAGGCAAGGCTATAGAGCAGAGCTTTGCTATACTGGGCCGTGTGAGTCCACAGCAGGCTGCAAAGGCCCAAGGAGAGCTCTGCCACAGGGGGCTGAGCTGCCAGCGGGGTGGGTGGGGGTCACGGCCTGTGCCAGGGAGGCTGCGGAGCACACGGCTGTGGCAGCCTGGGGACAGCGTGGGCTGTGGGGAGGGCTGGACTCAGCTGGTGAAAGGGGGGGATGCTACTGGGGAGGCGGCAGGGAGGTGTGCCTGAGGAGGGGGCCTTGGGTCTCTGGGAGTGGCCACGACTGGGTGGGTGCAGGAGCGGCATGCGTGAGGACTTTTTCCTCCTGTTTTTCAGATGATTGCTGGGGTGCATGGCGAGCCCCAGAACTCTGACTCTTTTCAGAAGATGTCCTGTGGCTGTGTCAGGAATGTGAGTGGAGGAGCAAAGCGTGCCATTGTCGTGGGTGGATTTACTGCTGGGGCAGGGAGAGGAGAAAACAAAAAAACCTTTAGCCTTTATTTCCCTCGTTCGTGACATCCTTTGGTATCTGTTGTTTGGGCTGTGGCCAGGAGGTGTCCCCTCTGGGCTCCTGGAGCAGGGCTGTTGGTGCCTCCTGGAGCTCTGCCGCACGGTGACTCCTCCCGTCCTTTGCCAGAGTCAGAGACTTTTAGCATAGAGAAACGGCTGTTTGAGTGATTTCTTCTCCTTCCCTCCCAAACTGCTAATGTCCTCGTTGCAACTCCCTAAGTCGTCTGCAAGAAAGGCAAAGAAGAAAGGCGTGTTCTGGGGCATTGAGGTGGCCAAAACACTCAGGTGGCATGGCTGGGAACTTGGAAAAGAGATTATCAAACATCTGGTCTTGAAAAATGTTCATGAGAAAACCCAGAAGCTCACCTACAGGTGCGTGGGAAGTTTCTTTCTCCTTTATACTCACTCTCTCACTGTGTCTTCATCCCTCATTAGCACCTTTTCTTAGATTCATCTGCCCCCTCTCCCCTCGGGGGTTGTGCTGGAGACAGTGCATGCACACTTATGTAGCAGGACCGAAACCTGCTAATTCAGAAGCACAGCCCTTGTTCCTGGCAGGAATATTTTAAACGAAATGCCTTTTTAAAATTCTGTTTTGCTGATACTTCTGTCTGTGAGGCATTTCCAGTCTAGTGAGATTTTAATTGTGGATGTATGCCAGCCAGTCACTAGTGTGTC